AGAGACAGAGAAGCTGTGCATCTGGAAGCTGGACCCCAGGGAGAGGGACCGCAGGTTCTCCTGGCGAGCACGAAAGAGGACCTGCTGTCTCAGCATGTATTCAAATATCACTACTGTCTCAACCGTGTTATATACGCTGCATGTCTCGAATAAACTGAATATTAAGGCGACATCTCGGGCGTTATGAGCTCTTCGCCGATTCCTCATTTACAGAGCCATTGATGACTGAAATGGTAATGTCAGTACGACAGTACCATCCAGAGCGTCCTCGTATCACCTCTCCCCCTTCCCAATCCCAACCATCATCCTCCGAAGTCTCCCAAGTTCCCTTCACTTTCACTCCCATTTTCCTTTCACTTTACCAGGAAAATTCCAGCTAAGTCCAAAAAACTGCTGTCGAGCGCAGGGGGAGGTGGGAGAGGGGTCTAATCTCAAATAATAGTTGTATTGGTGGTGGTTTTTTAGCTCTGTGGCGCTGGCAATTTATGAGAATGGGGGGAGGGGGCTTCCCAGTGAACATGAAACGAAAAAACAACAGAAAAAAATCTTGCGCTTGGAATAAGCGTTCTGAAAATCAGATGTGACCTCCCTCCCCCCCCCTCCCAGCGACCAAGTAAGTGGACCCTCTCATGGGATGCTTTTAATGATACTGTGCACTGTATAGACACGAGATCACTAGGCGGCTGACTCACCCGTTCTCGTCAGTCGTATTTAATCCTAGATTGTGGTTCAGCACATCCAGTTGAGGCGAAGGAGGCAAGAGAAGCGTTATAGGGGCCACCGATTCCGTCTAGTATTGCGGCAGTGTGTGAAGAAATCCTGATAGCAAGGAAGTACTCAGCTAGTTTGGGCGCGATGCAGCATACAGGATGTTCTGAACTACCTCCACAATCCTCTGTCACCCATTTCGTCTGTTTGCAAATGTGTAGGTGTTGCGAAATTCTGCAATGTAGGAGGCCAGTGCCACAATCGGAATCACATGGGTCGATCTCTTCCGTCTGTTTGCGCTACTCCTTTGATACAGCTGATTCATCCGATCTCTGTGGGAAATTCTGTGAATTCACGCTTCATTTTTCTCAAAGAGCCCACAAATTTGTTCGATTTTTGTGACAACTCTGACGGACTTAGCGCAATGGCTCTCAGCATAACCTTCGTTGCATCGAAATAATGGGCTGGTCCGGAGCCCCATTAGGGTCGAAATGTTGAACGACACGAAAAGGCATCAAATTGTGTTTTGGAATATCGCAAAAGGTGCGAGAGAAGCTCAGAAAGCTTTTGATTTCGTTGGTTTTGAGGTTTTTTAAATGAACTTTCGATACCTCTTCGTTAACTTTTGAAGTGCTGTTGCAGCTATCCCGGCTTATCCCAAATAGCGTCGGATACTCCATAAAAGAGCCCTGTAACGATCCTACAGATGCGGCCCATGTTCATGCTGAGATGAGTGAGCGCTTATCTGTTTACCGAATAGTCTCGCTAGATCCCTAGGCGCTGTCAGGGATGTGTAAATCTTCCCTAAGCCCTCATATCCGTGCATCTGAACAGATGGCGTGAATAGTAATCGCAATCCTCGAATATATCTTATCTCATCCCCAGTCTCTGCTACATAAGTTCCTACTTCGAGCACTCTGACAAAGTTCCTGCGTACCCCTGCCTGCTGACTTTGTGCTGATTTCATTTCAAGTAGTTACCAGGTCATTGAAAATTTTGAAATTTTACATTCCTATTCATTTATTTGCTCGATTTTTTCTTCTCGTTTGTTTGTCTCAGTTCGGTTCGTTTTATAGCGAGAGTAAAAAAAGTTCAATCTTCTTCGACAGTTCCTCTCGGAAGTAACTACAGAGCGGTCCAAGAAAAACGTTGACTGCCTTCTTCAGTTGTAACCAGTTTGATTGACTCTATCAACACATAGAAAGATACTTAAAATCTTGCGCTTTTTCGTAAGAACAACGCGGGGCGTGGTGAAAATCAGCTTCGTGCAAAACGGGTCCTGATTCGAAGTGGCACGGAAATGCGCACTTAGCAAAGACTACTTTCATACCTCGGGACCTGAACAGTCGGAGGACCGGAGAACTGAAAAGTCGCGGAATCGGGGAACCAGAGAATCCGCGAAAACGAATGTTCACGTTGGGGCAAGAGAATAGGCAAATTGAAGAATTGGAGCATGCGCAGAAAGGATTCTGAAAACTGGTGCAAGTAGAAAGTATAGAGTAAAACTTGTGCAAATTATGTTCGCGGCGAAAAGGGGGCGTGGCAGTCTGGGGTGGAGCATCGCATGAAGTCTGCTGTGTGCAGATGGGGTTTCGCGCAATAATTCAAATACTGCGATTCTTCGTTAAGTGAGTATGCAATATTTCGCGAACCGATTTTCTTGTTCTTGTGCGTTTGCACTACCTCTGCAAATGGCAGACCTCGTAGATACCCCGCCCCGGATTGCCGCGTACCCCTTTTTGAGAGAATTTGCACCCGTTTAGTTCTATAATTTCTACTTTCACTACGTGTTGCTTGACTCAGCCCAACTGGAGAATCGGAGTCTAGGAGATCAGTTGATACGTACCTGACACTTGGGTGTTCTCCAATTCGTCGAATCTCCAATCCTCCACATCGACACTCAAGCTTTTCTTTCGCTGCTTCTCGAATCCTCCCATTTCCGCCATTATCGACCTTTCAGTTCTCCTATTCTCCACTGTCGCAAAGTGCAAGCCTAACAGCATAACTTTCCTCTCAAGAGAGCGGCAACTAAAGAGTAATCTTCGAGCATCGCAATAAGGTGAGCCCACCGCTGTGCCTACTGACCTCCTCCATGCCTCGCGTGAATTAGAAAATGGCATGTGAATTAAAGCTGTCACGTAATGCAGTTGTTTAACGATTCGTTCGCTGATTACCATTGTGTAAACGTTTGATGTCGAACAATCATAGGTGCTTTAGTTCTTTTTCGGTTGGGCTCATGTGGGGGCGTTCTGATCGTTTTTCTTAATTTCTTCTCCTTTCCTAGTCTCGTCGGTACTTGATTGTCCTTTTTGTGTTGCGTTTTACTCGGACTGTTATTCAAAAGAGACGTCGATTCCTTCCAATGATCTTGCTTGTAGCGCCAAGGGTTTATGTGGACTCCTACGCTGGCTCAATCCGGCGTTCCACCACATCGACGTCGCGGCAACATTACACACAACAAGAGGAGGAATGGGATCGGGAAGGTCTGCTCGATCCCGCATGGGAAAAGCAGCAGAAAAAGGTATGGAGATTGCAAATTTTCAAGGTGCTGACTGCACATTCCGCTCACAGAGAGCAGAATGTGTGACTCAACTAAGGGATGGTTTTTCCAAAGTGTATGTTTGCTTACTGATGCTTTTTTTGCTAATAGCAGTTTAAGGAGTATGCTGAACAACTTTCAAGGTGTAGTTGATATTACCCGCAATCAGTTCAGGTAGGGGGGGGGTGTCAGGAGGGCAGATGAGCCCGCTTCCGGCTCCGCGGTAAAACGCTGCGTAAGGGCTCATCCCATGCACGACTTATTGCGGCGATCTCAGCTCTATACCGATTCGGCCGTTTTAGACCCTATGGAGTGGTGCCCAGGGCACGCCCTCGTTGTGATGATCACAAAGGGAGGGGACTTATTTGACCGCGAGAGAGTGAGGGGGGGGGCGTATTCGGTCGGAGAGAAATTTTTCTTGGTAGTTGCTTCTCGTTTCACGGACGACTATAAAGGGGGGGGGTCGTATTGGCGCGTTTGAGAGCGGGACCGCCGACAGATCTGTTAAACTACTTATTTCCAAATAGTTGAAAATGTATAGCGTAAACCAGGTCGGTAGGTTAGGGAAAATCTCGAGAAATTTTCTCTGTTTCACAGTGGGTGTATCCCCCCCCCCGCTCGAAGAAAAATCTGCCCGAAAAAATTGGGTAAAATTTTCGGGAAAATGAAAAAGTGGTAGATAGAAGTCGGGATAGATGCTAGGAAAGTCGCCATCGCGTTGTTATTGTTTCCTGAAAGAATACAACCCCCTCTTCCCTTGCTACCCAGCTTCCCTGCTTCTTCACTCACCTTCAGTTCGTTGTAGGCGTGGGCCACGTATAGTTCCTGTGAAGTTCCCTTGATTTTGTAGAGTAATCACTTTCCGAAGTGATCACATCGGTCCCTCCATGTGTCCCTGAGGTGTTACAACGAAAAATCAGTGCTAATGACGTTCTGAAATTGCAAGTTACAGTTTTTTTCGCCGCGGATGCTGGGGCGTATCAGGGAAGCTAGGTATGGCGCGGCGCCAGTTCGTTCTCCACCAGTCTATTTCTAGCTCCCAGTTAGTGGAGAACGGGCTGGCGCCACTTCCTAAGCAACCTTCCTGACACGCCCCAGCGCGGGACCTTATGCACTTGCTCGATATAATAGATTTTTTTGATTAGTTATTGCCCCAATGCCAACATTCCTATTGACAATCGTTGCAGACATTCACCGCCTGGTGCAACTCGCATCTGAGGAAAGCTGGTACTAGCATCGAACTTATCGAGGAAGACTTCAGAAATGGTGAGTTCCGAATCTCTCAAGGCTCATCAAGCCTTCTTTCAGCGCCAAAGAAAATACATCGTTTTATCTGACTGAAAATAGTTTTGTAATCAAAACTTCATGCAGTGGAGGTATCACCTCCTGGTTATAGGCTATATGCATGCTACATTAAGAGAAGAGCACTGTTATGAAGCGAGTATTTCCTATGCGCTTCTTTTACACTAGTTTCATCGTTAGCGCTTCTCAGAACAGGGCATAAAACGCGGTACGGGAGCCATGTAGTATGGGTTCTAATTAGATGTCAAAGAAATAACCAAAAAGTGTCAAGGATGGTACTCCACAAGAAGG